AAGACCCGATTTGAGGTTCAATATGCAACTTAACTTGTGATTGAGTAGACAGCAACTTGTTCAACATTGCTCCACAACATTACACTGCACACAGACGCACCACACATTGCACATGCACATGCCACAATAAACTGGGAAGACCTTGAACCAGTTTTCTTTAAACCATTGATATATTTGGGTTGTGGTAAATCATGATTATTCAGGTAACACTTTGGGTGACTCAGTTTCCCTTGTCTTGATGGAATATCTTCATGATGAAACTCCTTCTTACCAATCACTCTTTCTCTTCAAATGTTTCCCCTAGGGTGGCATGGGAGGAATGGGAGCCCCAGGACCAACTGGCCCTGCTGGACGCCCTGTAAGTACTATTCAGACTGTTTTTATTTCACATGTTTATTTTAACTTCCTAAGTTGTTCCGCTTTGTCTTTTCTCTGCCACCCTTTCACTGCAGTATAAATAATAATAATTTATTCATTTATAAAGTGCAAATTTCATGTAGATAGGATCAAATGTGCTGTACAATGAAGACATGGAATAATGAATACGTTTAAACATGGTGGAGCTGATGGCATACAAGGGCACCTAGGGCAGCCGCCAAACGACCCACATTTCCCGACATCAGTAAAGAGGAGACAGTAAGAAGCAGTTACAGTTTTAGAGGTTGGAGGAAAACCCCAGAGGAACAGTCTGGGTAAAACCCATAGAGTCAGGTAGGGACTGAAAACCCAATCAACGTATGGACCGGGCCAGGAACTGTACCCCGGACCATAGAGGTGGAAGACAAGGAAAGAACTATGTTGCCAACCCGACTCCCAAATTCACTGCAGTACATCTTTTGTATTGTTTCCTCACAGGCATCGTTGCAAATAAAGCTGTTTCAAATTCTTAAAGAGAGATAACCTTTCTCTTGCCCCTTCCCATTTCTCACAATGTTTTGTTTTGGTGGGTTTTTTTTGGGGGGGGGGAATTTTACATGAAGCAGAAATCAAATAAATTGAGAACTTGGATAACTTTCATCTTTTCCTTCCTCACAGGGTGCTGATGGAGCTCCAGGTAAACGTGGATCTCCTGGATCAGACGGTGCTCCTGGATCCTCAGGAGTCCAGGGTCCCAAGGGACCACGCGGATCCACCGGATCTGACGTAAGTTTGTAGTCGTGCATTTTTTTTTTGCCAAGGACAGTAATCACATCGTGCAAAGACTTGTTTGATTCAGCTCCGAACCTCAGACCTTTCTTTTTTAAGAAACTCTCGATAAGCACTTAGTAATAATTTACAGGAGAAACAAAACTCCACCCCCCCAAAAAAAAATCAAAGTGATTGTGTCATTCTTAGCACAGAGTAATACTGTTTCCAAAACTGTTGTTCCATTATCACAGGGCAGAGACGGTTCAGACGGAGCTCCTGGCGCTAAGGGAGGAAAAGGACCTCAAGGTGACAAGGGACCTCAAGGACCCCAGGGACCTGCTGGAAGTGCCGGAATGCCTGTAAGATTAACTTAAAATTCTGCCACTTGCTGACAAGAAATTGCCTTTTTGGTTCTTTCTGCAAGCATCATTTAAAGTATTCCATGTCATCTCGCATGCAGTGAGATTCACCAAAGAAAGCTCATGGTTTTGCTCAATGTACTGATGGCATGAATGAAAAAATACTCTTTGTTAATGTTGCATGCTCTCGCCAGGTTCTGTTTTTTTTTTCTTTAATACTCTTTGAAGGTTGAGATTACTTGTGACCAATTTCCAAACCAGTTTCCTGTGGCCTTTTTTGCCCTCAGGGCCGACAAGGACCAAGCGGTGGTCCAGGTGAGCGTGGAGCTCGTGGACCCGCTGGACCCGCTGGATCAAGAGGCAGCCAGGGACCTGACGGTGACATGGGACCGGCTGTAAGTACATGATTTTTCAGCCTTTCCATATTATAGTGTCTTAAACAAGTGAAGGAGAGTTTTCATGCACTCTATAGGTGTCTGTGTATTTTTCCCAGCTAAGAAACGAACAAAAAATATGAAAATCTTAAATAAGAGTGTTTAAGAACAAAACCCATGTTTGTAGATTTTGAAAGGCAAGTCGGCAGCCAGACCAGTAGACAAGATTTTAAGGGGGGCACTTTTCTGAGAATTAGTAAAAAAGGCTTTTTGTGCAATGCAGCTTTATTTGACTGTCAATCATTTTGTTTCAGATCAGGGGTTGACTGTCAATCATTTTGTTTCAGATCAGGGGAAAATGTTTCGTTTATCATTTTAATAATTGAATTTTTTGTGAGGAAACTGAATGACATGAATAGAATAGCTCAGTGGCAATCACTGCCTACTTGCTTTCCCTACATTCATTTGGTTGTTTTTTTGTTTCTTTACAGGGACCTGCTGGACCCGCAGGAGCCCGCGGAGAGACAGGTGCAACTGGCGCCCAGGTAAACTGCAGTCCCCCAAGTCTCTGCTCCTACTTGATCTTTGCATAATTGACTTTTCAGCCATTGACCGCTGCGCAAGGATTGGCAAACTTTGCAGTGATACCAAGGCCATATCTGCTGCCACTAATCACGATTGAAAACTGCGTTTGAGTATATCACCATAACTTGGATTATGTGCAGCATTGATGACAGTCACATGGAAATGTAGAGCTTAGCTTGGAGAACTGATTTCATCAGGGGGTGTTGTTTTTTTTTTCTTCAGGGCCACAAGGGATGGGGAGGTGCTCCCGGAGCCCCAGGACCCCAGGGACCCAAAGTAAGTAGAGATTCAAAAGAGTACACAGGTCGAGTTTCACTTCTTGCTCACTCAGTACTAGGATGATCAAAATTTAAAGCAGGAGTGTTAAAAACAAAAGATGACAGGTGTTTTGTGTGTGGCTTTATACTGATGTTTGTCGTTTGTCACAGTAATAGATGTGAAGGATAATATCCAAATACGACATCGTTTAAGGTTGGATCATAAATTTGAGCACTCCAAGGAATTGGAAGTTGGCAAAATAGTTCAAGAATGTTGTAGCTGTTTTACAGTGCCTCAGAAATAATCAGCTGCCATTACAATATCCGGATCAGGGTAAAGGCAGCATGTATGTCTACTGAAACCCTGTTTATGTATGGATGTCTGAAAAGAACTGTCTTAACTCCCTAAAAGCAAAACCTTGTGATTTTCGTTTTCCCTCTGTCTAGGGCTCTACTGGAGCTCCTGGTGAGAACGGACGGCCTGGACCTGCAGGACCTGCTGTGAGTCCCAACCTGTACAAATCTCTCTCAAGATGACACAGACGAGACTTTTATTTGTACTTGAATTTTCAAATTCTTAATTTGCAAGACAGGTGGTACAGCTGAGACGGGGATGAATCATATGCAGCAAAGCCTTGATTGATTCAGTCGTAAAGGCATGCTGAAATAGCTTTCAAGCAGATAATGATTTTGAAAGAGGATGGCGCACAAAAGTTTAATTGGTGTATCATCAAACCTTTGCTAGTACCTTGGTCAACTGGTGTGATAATAAAAAAAATTGAAAATCATAAAGATGGCATGCTGGATTATACTTGAATCCAGTTGTAATGTTTGACATGTTTTCAAGAGTTTATTTTTATGTTGACAAGTTTATTGAGATGTCCTGCTTGAATAAAAAAGCAACTGTATATAAAAGATGAGGTTTCCATCTTTTGAATATTCTTAATCCAGTGATCCTATCAAATTTGTATACTTTCTGTAATCTACATGTATTTTGCAATTTTTTGTCTTCTCTGAATAGGGTATTGATGGTGCTCGTGGTAGAAATGGAAGGGATGGTGCACAAGGCCCCCGTGGAATGACTGGACCAGCAGTAAGTTATCCAACATTGGTTTTGTAGAAGCTCACCTTCTTAAAAAAGAATATAAAAAAAACAAGATTTAAGTCTCCAGAGAGCATTCAATCAGGGCGGCTAAATAAACTTAAAACTGGAGAACGTATTGGAAGTGTAACAGTGACTCCAAAAACACCAGGGACTAAATGGTTGGTAAAGGCTCAAAAACCTTTTAGTACTACTGAACATCAAAATGGAGGATAGTTGCATTGGCCATAATAAGTATAGAGTTCATCGGATTTTTCTTTCAGGGCCAACGTGGTCCTTCTGGAAGGTCTGGACCAGCTGGACCCCCAGGACCCCCAGGACCTGCCGGAGCACCTGTAAGTGAAGATCTGTTTTAGTTGGTCAAAGAGAAAAAAAGCAAATCCTTTGCCCAAAGAGCTAAATTGAAAGAGAGTTGCACAACTTTGACTTGCAAAATCTTTCTTTCTGGAAAGCTGCCAAACCGCAAATGACCCATAAGTCAGTTTGTAGTAATGCCTCTAGTTCTTCAAATGATATGTTTTGTTAGATGGACTTTCATAGCAACAGAGTGTGCTCTTGGTGGCCTTATGATCAGTTGTCTGTTTCTTGCTGAGAAAGTAAATTTACTAAGCTCAGAAAAAAAACGTGACTTGATTGTTACTTACATTTGCTTACTGCAATTTTTTTGCAAGAAGTTGTTTCAACCTGTATGTGGTTTTAGCTGTCCTAGAGGTAACTTTGTGCTTGCACTACATTCAAATAATAACTAAGCAAAGCAATTTTAGTAATCATGTATGCACCAATTCCAACAATTATGTTCTATTTTAACATGTTTCTTGTCCTTTTCCCCCCATCCAGGGAGCTCTCAGCTATTCAGGAGTAAGTGTTTCTGCCAATGTTGTTTTCTATGCAGAAAAAAAATTAAATTATGAAGTATTTGTGTTCTTCTTATTTCTGGCTGATCACATCCCGTGCACACAAGCAATATCATACCTCATTACACTGAAAAGGACTGAAGTCATTCCTGTTTGTAACATAGCAACAAAGCGTTTTGACTCTCGCAAGCGTCAAGATTATCAAGTCCAACAAAATAAGATTTGTTTTTCATGATAAGAAATTTTGTTTTCTTCCGTACCATTTTATTGAAATGCAGCAAGTTACTATAACTACGCTTCTTTTTTCTCTACAGTATGCCTATTCTGGTTCGTATGCCACTTCTCAAGTCGACAAGGGACCCAACCCATACGCTGGCTATGTGAGTCCTTTTGACTGCTCGCTTAATTAAAGGCTTCCCCCCACAATGAGAGATTGGGTCATTTGTTTAAAAAAAAACAAATGGGTCACATCAGTGCGGGTCTAAATTAGAGTGCTTGTCAAAGCCTCTACAAAATTATGGATGTATCGACACTTGATAGCCACTTTAAGGGACTTCCTGAAACTGCACTCTGCACACTCTGTCCTAGCCATTGTACTGGCTGTACCATCTCAATTTCGTACTTGACAGTGCACTTTGTTGTTTTAGGCTTTTATGAGCAAATTGTCTATTTGACCAGTGGAAAGGTGGCTAACTTGATTTTGCTCTAATTGTCATGAAGTGGTGTCGATTGCATCTGTGTGTAATGCAGTCAATGTGACTGGGGAAAACAGACGCCCTTCACAGTTTAACTGACTAAATTAGCTTGCAGTTGGCTGATCCTTGTCTCTTATCATCTGTAACTACAGTATGGAGACGATGCCACCATTGAAGAGGATGACTACGAGGCCCGCATTATCCAGCTTAGGAACCGCATCGAGAGGTTGTTGCTACCCAACGGTGAGCCAGAGTATCCAGCCCGCTCCTGCAAGGATCTCTTCAGGTGCCACCCCATACTCCCAAGTGGTAAGGTCTACTCTCAAGTTGCAAGTCCATTCTTACGAACTGGACTTGTTTTACAGACCTCCCTTAAGTCTTTTCAGGGCTGCGTCTCAATCAGCCAGGAGCCAAGCACATGCCTGTAGAAACAGGCTGTGGCTTCTGCTATAGCCCATATCTCTGTCAAGGCATGTGTCATCTCCAGCCACAGTCGTTACTTTCAGCCCATGGGCAGATTGCAAAAGTAAAGCCTTAAATGGCTAACTGTATATATTTGATTACAGCCGACCCTGTTGTTATTATTAGCCTCTTTGGAGTAATGATTCGTGAATGGGGTGAATACTGCGCTTGTACTAATGTACAGTATGTGCGAGTTATGTGCTCACCAGCACCGGCTGATGAATCCACTGGTGCATATGTACAGAGTATTAAGTGTGATTGTGGTATTCCTGCCTTGTCAAAAATGCAGAGTCCACGTCAAGGAAACTTGTATTTGCAGCACAACTTATTGTCATCGTTTATCTCCTTTTTGATGCAGTGTTCTTCCATTCAAAATTATTAAACCTCCATTCCAGCTGAAAAATTAAACATCCCAGAGAGTGAGTTTGAAAATTCCCAAACACAGACCATTTGAAGCCAGCCTCAGGCTGTCTTACCATTTTAAGATTGGCCGTAAACAATTTGGCTGTACATCTTCACTTTCAGTAGTCCAACTTTATAGACTAATTAATAACATGCCCTTAAAGAACACAAAGACAACTTTAAGACCCTCACTGCAATCCACCCTGGATCCAACTGCAATCCACCCTGGATCCAACTGCAATCCACCCTGGATCCAACTGCAATCCACCCTGGATCCAACTGCAATCCACCCTGGATCCAACTGCAATCCACCCTGGATCCAACTGCAATCCACCCTGGATCCAACTGCAATCCACCCTGGATCCAACATGTCTGAGCACAAAAAAGCTTTAATTGAAACAAATAAGGTTAAAGGGTTAACCAGCAAAATAAACAAGAGAATGTGGTGGTCATTACTTGCAATTTTATCTCAACTGCCTGGCACAAAGTTGCAAAACACTTTATCTTCTGTTCAGGCTCCATGAAATTGCCCCTGATCACTGCCACAGACTGGTACTGGGTTAAAAAGCCCTAATAACGGCACACTGTCAATGCCGACGTGCTTGTGTGTTATGCAGGTTACTACACTCTTGACCCAAGTGAGGGATCCCACTATGACAAATTTGTTGCCTACTGTGACAAGAAGACCAACGCCACCTGCATCCACCCAGATAACAAGAAGGTAAGGCGCATCGCAGGAAAAGATGACAGAGTCGTCAGTTTTTCTTTCAAAGTATAATGGATAATGAGATCAGAGGGGGTATTCTACAGCTGCATTGATCACAGTTACTCATTGAAAGTGGTTCATCCCATTTTGAATAAAACAAATATTGAGTTTGTTTCTTTTTCTCCAGATTCCTTTTGGCACCTATTACCTTGGCGAGATTGAGGAACCAATTGACTTCTCTGAAATGAAAAATGGCTCAATGGTAAGGTGGACAAATTTAATACCTGCAAGTTAAATTTTCTTTTGCATTAAAGTTTCTGCTGTAAGAGCATCCATTAATTTTTACACAGGTTAAAAACATGAACTGTAGTTAACCTCTAATGAGCATAAATGGTAAAACATATCCCTAGTGTGTAATGACTATTAGCATAAATGGTAAAACATATCCCTAATGTGTAACAAATGCCTAGAGGTAATGAAATTTTGCTGCCGTACCACAGCACAATTTCTGTTTGCAGTGACAGCAGTGCTTAAATTTTTTGTTTTAAATTAATAGCTGCAGCTGGAGATGACAAATACTTAAGGACATCATGGCCCAGCAGTTACAGCCACTTCCCATGGACTCATCCTTTTGATTAAGACGAGGCCCAAAATTGGTCCCCAGACTCTGCTGACTGATTTTTTTTCCTCTTTGCATTCTCCTTACAGATCAGTTACAGCGTCAAGCCCGTCCAGCTGACCCTCCTGCGACTCATCTACTCCCAGGCCAAGCAGAACCTCACCTATCACTGCAGGAATTCCCACGCCGTGGCCAACAAATTCGGTAGCACGGCGAAAGCTCTGACCCTAGTGGGACCCAACGACGTGCGAATGAACATCAAGAACACCCGGAAAGACTTGCAGTATGAAGTGGAAGGAGAAGACGGGTGTCAGGTAAATAATCACTTTCTTCACATAACTTCACTTTTTTCATATAAACGGTGAATTTTATGGGAGAATACATATAATATTCGATGAAGTAAATGTAAACAGTTCTAAAATATTGCTGTTCACAGGATTCACACTTTACCAAATTATGGCAACCTCATATCAATGTTGTGAGTGCATCTCGTAGTATCAATCATTGTCAAGGATGCGATGAACTTATGTGCACCTTTTTTGCACATCAGGTACATGACAACACCTGGGGAAAGACCACTGTCTCCGTCACTACAAAGAAAACCGAACGTCTACCCTTGGTTGACTTTGCCGTGTCAGACGTGGGCAGAGCCAAGCAACAATTTGGGGTGGAAGTCGGCCCTGTCTGCTTCTCGTAGATGGACATCCACCACCAAGTGCTGACTCCATAATAGTGTAGAGTTTAAATCACAGCATTAATGCATAGGGAAGTCTTTATTTACAAAAAAACAAACCCTGCCTGTAGGAAATTAGTAACCTCTCACTATTGTGATGGAGTCGCACTTTTTGAGAAAACAATTTGCTTTTTAAAAAAAATTGACAAACGAGTGAGGTTTTTGACTGATGGTGCTTTTCTTATATCATTAATTAAAAAATAATGAAGAACTTTTTTGAAGGTATTCGTGTTTTGTGAAGAAAATTTCACGTCGGGCAACAGCAACTTGTGTTTTGTGAACCTCCTGTGCCCTGTTTATTTTCTTCTGAAAAGAAAAAACCGAAAAAAACTGGTGCTAGAATCCCTCGGCAGACAGGCTGGCAAATGTAGCTTAGACTGTGAATGCTTGGGGGTGGTCCCTGAATAGATAATAGAAACTGTGTGCGTGTCTCTCTCTCCCGTGTGTGTTTCTTTTGTGTTCCTAGTTGTGTCTTTGCTTCCTCAAAAGGCAGTCGGAAGTCTCTGGTTGGGAAGGTTTCACTGGTTCCATCTAGAAAAACTTCAAGACATCAAATGAACCGCAACTGAAGTTGTTGAGTAATCTCAACACATATGCACGTGTCATTCAGGTCACTGCATTTAAACCTCAAATTAAACATTTCATTTAGCACAGCATTGTCATTAACAAAAGCACTTTTTTGTGTAAACATACCCTATTTTTCCAGCTTGGGGTAATACAAAGTACATGGTCTTTGGCTTTGAAAGGTCCCTAACTGCTCAGCTCAGCGTTAAGTGAGTTTTTGAATTTCATTGCTGCTTTCTGTGTTTTTTCTTTCTTTCATTGTTTTATATAGTCAGAATAAAGCTTCCCTATGATAAAAAAAAATTGGTGTGATGCTTCTGTTCAATTCTATACATGTCAATCTGGCGTTTTCTTTGCTTAGCTTACACAGAGGGCAGTACAGCAAATCTGTGCCACAAATTGGGGGGGGGGGGAGGGAGGGATGGGAGACAGGAAAGGTGGGGGGAGAAGAGTTGCCCGGTCCTGACAAATTGAAAAGGGGGAGGTGGTGACTCCACAGAGGTCGATCGTGATATTTATTGCATCTTTGGTATGTATTCAGAATGGCATATTTATGGCTTTTTAAATTGTTCCCTTTTTTGAGTGATGTTGAATGCATTTGAGTCATGGAAGTCTGAAAGATTCTGCGGCAATCGGCATTAATTTTTTGCTTGCCACAAAAAGTGTGGGGAGGATGATTCAATAGCCACTTGCCTAAAAGTGTAAGGTGATACATACCCCCTGGGTTTATGCCCATGATAGAAGGAATTCAGTGTCTTTCAAATGCTACTTCACCAAGTTTATTGTGGAAAACCAGTCTACATACTTGATAATTATGCGTTCTGTACTGAACTTCAGAGGGAACAGAAACGCAATCAAACAAAGGGCTTGTTAATTTTGAGGAAGAATTCAAGAACTTTCAGTTTCAAGTCATGGTTTTCATCGAGAGGAGTAATGGGAGAAGAGTTTTCCAATGGAAGACTATAAATCGTGTCGTATGCTGACATAAATGTAAAGGGAAACTTGGTGAGCTTGAGTTTTCACCTAGGTCCTTGAAATCCCGTACTGAACTTCAGTGGCCTGATGGGATGGATAGCCTCCGTGTAAAGCGAACCTATTGATCTCCGTGGGAGAGTCAGCTATCACATGACTTTCCAAAACTGAAAACCTGTCCGAATAAGCAGAATTTCTAAAGTTCAAACAACATTATGGAAGGACAAAAGGGGCTAAAACCAGGGAGAAGGGACACTCTTTTTGGGTGGAGGTAGGGGTTTGGGAGGGACATAAACTTTTATCCAATCAAATTAATGGATTTTTTTCTGCGCGCGAATCTACTTGATAAGACGCCCTCTATTGTGAAGATAAAAAAAATCGATTCCACTTGTCATGTCTGTAAATCACGAAGTGGTCTGTTTCGCCCTTTAGTTCAGCTTTCTTCAGGTGCTTCATGGTTGTTCAGTTATTTTTCACGGGACTTCCATGTTTTTCAAGGTGGGTGAGACCCTAAGACAGGTAAAGATACAAGATATCTGACTAAAGTTGCGGTACAACATGGCCAGGTGATGGCAACAGTGTGGCATTACCACTGGCATTTTGTTCATTTTGGACGCGACGGCGCCCAGCCACATGTACACACTGCGATTTTTGCTGCCCTCTAACGTTAGTGCCATGCTGGAGCATTTGTTACCTCAGATGTCACAACATGTGAAATTTCATTGAGCTCTCAACATTTCTGTTCATAATTCTTGAGTTTACCTACTTGCTACGCAACGGTGGTGTCAGCAAGTCGTGTTTTGCAAGTCCAAGCTACAAGTCATAGCTGGTATTTACAAGTCAAGTCACAAAAATAGCGACTCGAGTCCGACTTGAGTCCAAGTCACATGACTCGAGTCAGCAATTCTGCTACTCAAAGTTGCAATGAAATCCTATTTTAGCCTGATTTTCCGATTTTTTTTAAATGAAAGTTCCCAATGAACTCGTTTAAATGCGCCCCAAAATAAAATATATTTTCTTATTAACTTATTATTGGGTAGGCCTATTCATGGTATTCTCGCAGTTGGGATGACATCAGCGAGTCTTTATTCTTCTCTCTGATTGGTCAGTTGGTGGCTATTCCATATTTCACATTCGAAACTGAAAGGGGCAAAAACACTTTTTGCTGTCTATGGGGAAAATTTGAATAATTGACAGGGGGCCTAAACTCTTAACCTTTACATCAAATCTGCCCGAAATTTCACTGTTTATACACAATGATAACATGAATATCTCCCACACTACTGGAAAGTGTCAGTTGTTTTTAGCCTGTTGGAGCAAAAAAGGAGGAAAACATGCAAATCCCTGTATAAAGTGAATGGAGAGTTGCCCTTATGCCTAAGCGTGAGTGCAAAGAATGCAACAACGTCCGACCGCGAGAATGCAAATGGACAACAACTAAAACAATGTCTTTATCTTAGTGTAGGATTTTCAGAGATTTGTTCAATCAAAGTGCACCACATAAGGGAATGTTCACTGATCTGAGTTACATGCTTTGCTTTCAGACACCACTGTTTTTGAACAGCATGTACATGTATTCAGGGAAAGAATTCTACCTCCTGACTCCAGCGCAGTCATAAAGATTCTACAGTAGCCTATGTATTCAGGGAAAGAATTCTACCTGCCGGACTCCAGTGCCATGGTTAGCAAAAAATTGGAAATATTTCTCTGTCCAAGATTCATGTCTTCTCAGCATTTCTGCAATGACTAATCTTTATTGAGGTGCTAGCCTGCTAGGCCTAGATGAAAGTTGTTGAGGTAGGACGCAGCATTCTTTCTTGTAATGTTACCAGTACTGAAGTCGAACTGAGTGAATTTGGTGTTTTTCAGTGTAGAATTTTGGCAACAATGCATGAGAAAAGTTGAGGGAAGCGTCTAAGTACACTACCTTAGGGGACTCTGTACACCCACAACGCCAGGCATTTTGAAATGTAGGCCTAGAATGTGTCCATCTGGGCAGCCCATCATTGCATGTATACATAAATAATTCTGCTGCAACCAAGTCCTTTTTAGAGGTTTGTTTGCAATAAAAAAAACTAATGTCTGTTAAAGAAGTAGTATTTTTGCTTTAACAGAGTCATAGAGCACAGTGGAATTTGGCATACATGTAATTTCTGGTTCTTTTGTAATAAATGTTGCAAAGAAGTGCAAAAAAGCACATGTACATTTGCAGTGAGTGAAATAATTGCCCCTTCACATGAGGTTACTTGTAACTAGCAACAATTGCAAATATCAACCAGTAAATATTTTGACTATAAAGACACATGTAAGCAGCAGTGGCATAGGTAGGGTTTTATAGGTAGGGGAAGGGGCACAAAGGGGCACCAGCAACTTGTGGGGGGCACCAGCTTTCAGTGGTGTTTTTGGGGGGGCAAGTTTTTGTTAGCCTCGTTCAATATCCATTTCTCTGTGTTTTTTTTTTCAGTGGGGGAGGGGGTACCTGGGGGGCACCGGGAATTTGTGGGGGGCACGTACCCCCCCCAGGTCCTCCCTGTGGCTATGCCACCGGTAAGCCGAGAAATTTATTGGAGTGGGAGTTGAACCCATTAACTCTGAGACACTGCTCGGGTGCTTCACCAACTGACCTACTGGTACCCAGCCCTATGTTGGTGGTTCTTCCCGTATATCACTTTGTTCACATAAGTAAAAATTTTGTTCATGTGTGAGGCAGCTCCAGGTCACCAATGTCCGTGATGCCGTAATGCATTATGAAGACTGCGAGCATGATGATGCTTACACAGTATCGGGAATACCATAAACTTACGATTTTACAAGCATCTTCTCCTGCCCACCGGCCGTTAACTTCCACTTCTTTGTTTCCTTGCCTCTATGAAAATTGAGATGAATTGTCCCTTTGAATTGAGTCTGTGTGATATTTGGTGTCAAGAGAAAGGAGAGGAAATGATGAAATGATGCCTCTTGGTAATAGAAATACCGTGGACAGGACAGTACAGTAGTTTGTGTAAAGCCAAACAAACATTAGTTCTGTTTCCTATTACACTGAAAATATATTAGGGTGGTTGGTTGGGTAAACTATTTGTTTGTTACTCTAAATTTTTATAGCCCAAAAAATAAGAGTCGGATGATGGTCTGTATTGTTAAGGGGGATGTGTATTTTTAGCAGGTACTAAGTCAGTGTCAGATTAATACTGTACATGTGTACGTCAATATTACTTATCAGTGCCGTGGTTGAGTAGGAAAGCAGCTGGTTGTTGAAATACAAACACACAAGAGCTGTCCATCTCATGCCCAAAAAAAATTAAAACAATACAATGTACAGGACGATGTACATAAAATTAGGCTCGGGGCAAGGCGCTATAAGTTTTTATATTTTATTGAGTTGTCGAATTAAAAGACACAGGTTTCGCATGATTTCCCAGGTTGGGTCGAGAACAAGAAACACAGCTATTCTTTTGTTTGACCTAAAAAGAGATCCAAAACTGTTGCACTCCCTCTATGGGTAGTATGGGTCATTCCACATGCTTCCTGTCCTGCAGCGTACTGTATACACTGCTAACTAAAGCCCAGGCTTGTGCAGTTGGCTGTGATTGTAAATTGACCCTTAAATTTTTGTATCCAGTTTACATAGTAAGGTTACTTGTTCATGTATGTCTGAATCAACATAGGACAGGGTGGGGAATATCCTGCTGGAAGATACATGTAGCTTTAAACAGAATATGGCTCAACAAGCCATTTGTCGCAAATCGATGAGAAATTAGATGATGGTCGAAGTTCCATCTAAGATGGTTGGATGATGAGTATAATTGGAATTGGATTGGTGCATGGATATGCCGGATGAAACATGTACATATCCCTTAGGATTTGCTGTGGAAAAAGAAGGGAAAAATGAAGAAAAAGAAATGGGAAATCAAACTTGTTTTGGTTGGCTTCTCTGAAACAGGTGCAGGTCAGGACAGTGTTGGTCCCCTCATAGTCCTGTTGATCTGCAAATGACAATCCAAAGCAGAGGTGTTAATATACATATTCCCTTGAGTCCAAACCGCTTTAACACATGCTAGAGGACCGAGAAGTGTGACCTTAATTCTCAACACTTTCAAGAGGTTACCATGGTAACATTTGTGTGGGTGTTCACCCTGCTTCGGTCTGTATCGTCTTTTAGGTAAAACTGTGACAAGTTTGACAAAATGTTGTTCTTCCTTATGTTTTATTTGAAATGAGGCTTCTTTTTATTCACAGTCCCAAACTTTACCTGAAAACAGTAAAATTAAAAAATAAACAATTAATTTAATGTGAAAATTATGAAAAAAAATTTAAGTACACAGGTTCTTGTC